TAAATTAAAGCAAGGCAATAGAACTGGAAAGGGCAAGAAAGATCAAAGAGCTATTTAGGAAGAAAATCCAAGTGTGTAATTAATACTTTAGGAGAGTGAAAGGTTATGCTACTAACAACATGTTTGCTGTTCTGGGAAAACTGGGACATCTCTAAGAGATGTAAAATCAATGACACGGGATTTCAGAGGAGGAAAGGAGAAGGAATTGTTTACCTGGCTCTGAATCACAGATTTGCTACTAACTAGCTGCAACAACATTAGGAAAGTTACTTAATCTCTACATAGTTCAATTTCCTCACTTTGAATTGAGACAATAGGATTGTATGATGATTAAATGAGCAAATCTTATTAAGTACTTAGCCTAGTGACTGACACATGGTCTGAGCCATATAGACGCTTGCTCTTAATAGAGAAAACACCTTATGGAGAAGAGGGAATTTGAGTTGGGCCTTGAAGAATGTATAGAATAGCAACATATAAACAATATGAAAAGGAGAGAAACAGCAATGGTTATATATCAGATGCATTTGGAAAATGGAAAATGGTCTAATTTGACTGAATTTCATAGAGTAAAAAAGAATTGGATGCATACCAGGAGATCTACCTGTAAGGCAGTGCACGAGAAACATGAAATGCAAGAAATTTAGACTTTACTCAGCCAGCAATGGAACATAACCAAAGGATTTTCAGCAGGAGTAGCCTTTGAGAATAGATTAAATTTTGAGTGTCAAATTGATGTGTGTAAAAGTCACACAGTAATTTTGTACAGGCAAGATTACAGCTGAGTTCTCTCTTACCTAACCAACAGCCTTGATCTTTTCACTATGCCATACAGGTTCTTTATGAACCCTGTTGCCATCCACCTTACAACATACACCTTGGTATACTGAGACATAAATGAATAAGCGCATTGTTTGACAAGGAAGTGTGATGAGTGAGTAATGGCTAAAAAAAGAGCCAGCTGTGTTACCTTATATAAACCATAAAATCTCAATATTGTTAGCTTTAAAAGGGATGGTATTTGCTCACAGGCTTGGTGCATATAAAAACTCCAGTTTTCTAAAATTGTCTATTAAATTACTGGGATGGTTTCCTGCTGCATGTGCTTCTACATGTAGCCTTAAAATAAAGCTCCATTAAATGAGGTTACTCGAACTTACATTTATTCTTTACAACCCATAAAAGTTTAATTGGCCATTAGTGATTCAAATTATTTTATGGGATAAATGAAAAATTTTTGCTTGGCACATACTAGATGCTTAATACATGGTGGCTATGTTTTTTATAACATTAAGATCAGAAATGACCCATCTATAGAGAAGCTGCATAGCACACTAGATGAGAGCAAGGAATCTGGAGCCTGACTACTTGGTACAAAGCCCAGCTTTGACACTATTAATCGTGTGACCCAGGGCAAGTTACTTAGTATATTTAATTGAAGGAAATAATAGTATTACCTACTCCATAGAGTTGTTATGAAAATTTAATGAGATAATATTTGTTAGAGTTCTTAAAATGCTTCCTGAAAAATAGTGAGTGCTGGATAAGTATATAATATGCAAAATGAAATAAACAAACAGAAATGCCATCTCATAAAATTTTCCTTGGAACATATCAGACCAATGACAACAAACAGTAACCGAGAATTCTTGGCCTGGGATAACTGTAACTGTTTATTCTCCTAAACTTCTGTCATTTTTTTTTATAGCTTTCAAACTCAGCTAGTTTTCTTTCATGCAGGATATTGTATCTCATTATTCCAGTCTTTAATTCTTTTTTGTCTTTGTTATTACACGCAAGACTAGGAATGCATTAGGCACTCAATGAATGTCTGTGGTATATAATAATTGAAATATTTAAAAAGATGCACTGAACTTGGCAAATTTTAAAATTTTGTACATTGATTAGTTTATGAATTACAACAACAAAAAAGATTAGCTTCAGTTAGCACTATAAAAATCACTGAATCATATGGTTCAAATCTTCAATACTAAAGAATCATTTCTCTCTTACGTTTCTCTGCCAAGCATCAATTTATTCGTGCATGCAAAATATGATAAAAATTTTAAGATAAATTAAAGGTAATAGACAATGTTACTATTACTACTATATTGTGTAAATCAGCTAATACTCAAATATCAGCTAATATCTCAAAAAATAATTACGACATTCTACAGTTATTATGTTTAAAACATGTATGGAATAAAAATCTTTTCTAATTGCCTTTAGTAAACTCGCAAGAAAAGAGAGTAACTGACTATGTGCTGCACACACTTTAGATGAATGAAGAATAAACAAACCAAAATGTGGTCATAACAATCAAGCAACAGGGACCCAGTGGTGTAGTAGCTAAGTTCATGTGCTCCACTCTGGTGGCCTGGAGTTCGCAGTTTTGGATCCTGGGTGCAGACCTAGCACCACATGTCAAGCCACACTGTGGTGGCATCCCACATAAAATAGAGGAAGATTGGCCCAGATGTTAGCTCGGGGCCAATCTTCCTCACTAAAAAGAAAAAGAAAGAAAATCAAGCAACAGAGCACAGTTTCAAGCAGAAGTTCAGAAACTTTCAAAAAAGAGGAAGAGAATAGAGGCTGTTGTTGCTTTATCAAAGTAACTCAAAAGTAAACAAAATTTCAATAAACTTCAGTTTTTAATATCCTTTTTTTCCTCCCATATACAATCTTTCAAAAACATGATGGTATTATTTTTTTTATCTTATCCTAACTTGATTGATTGTCTGGAATTAACTTTTTCATCTTTAGAAAATCAGTACCATCTTAGGTTCAGATTCCCTTCATAGTATGAACTGATGTTTGATCCAAAAACATCATAAAACTAATGTTTTATGGATGTCAGCAGAGGTGAAATAACTGTAAGAATCAGACCTCTATTCAGGAATGTACTGAGTTCTTTGGCCAATATTGTCATGTCTACAGCTCACATATTGTTTCTGTGAATGGAGACCCAAGTATAGATGCCTGAAATTAAACAGTGCTCAAGTGGTCTACCGGGGGTTAACACATCTTACAGTCATAAAGTGGATGTTTTTCTAGACTGAAAGCTGTTATTTTCAGTTTTTATTTTTCATTTCTTAATCTAATGTGTATTAACCTTTAATTGAAAAAGTATGGCAAGCACAAGATAAAAATATTTTTTTAAAAAAATTGTCTTCTCCCCACTCCAGTTCTCTATTTCACTTGTCCCTCTCTCCAGAAGCATTCATCCTTATGAATCTCTTGGCTCTACTTCCTGAACAAGTCTGTAATTTCTAAGCAAGTGCTAGTATGCTGTCTATAATAATGAATTCAATTAACTACACAGCTGCAAAAAATCTTAGAAATGTATTCACAGCTTATAATACAATTTAAAATTCCAAGATCCAAAGCTAATTTCAGGAAGTGTGTTTGTGCGTCTTGTGCAGCTCCTCTGTAGTAACTGTACATGGTCCAGTACATTCAAAAGCATGAAGTACAACACAAGTGAGAGGTTCTAATGCATTGTTTTTGAGCTGGAAATGAAGCCACCTGGAGGTTCCGAACTTAAAAGAAATGTCTCACCACTGGCTTTCTTCCACTCTCCCTTTACTTCCTGAGATGGAACTCAAGCCCTGGCTCATGCACTTCTTGGAAGGACACAGGAAAAGGCAGAAGTTACTTAGGCACCATTGTTCTGTATTCAGACTAATACCTGACCCAACGCGTGGCATGACCTGGAGCAGAGCTGCTATAAAAATGTAATTCTCCTTTAACCCGTCCATGTAAATCATTAGAAAGCTTCCCTCCACTGATTTAAACAAATTTGGTCTTTGACCTCTGAAGTCAGAACTGGCCTCAACAACTCTTTCAGATGGTTGTAATATTGACTGTTTGATGTATGTCAACTACCATAAAATGCAATACTATTTCATGACTGATCTTCAGATAATGCCACGTATGTCCAAAGTCGTGGCAACAGTCTCCTTATTCCAAGTAAATCAGTAGCATGAAATACTGCAGATTAATGGAATAATGCACTTTGCTGTATCAAGCTTTGGCATCTAATGCAGCTGTGATTTGCGATATTGTTCAACCAGTTGTAACACCTGTCAACGTGCTTCCTATAGAACTTCAAAAGGCTTTCAATAAATACCAAATGCTTGGAAGAGTTCTCATGTGTATAAGTAAGAATTTTTCTGGGTCTGTGACTTTTTGTATTTAACAACCAGACCAGTACAATAGTTCATAAACCAATCCGTTGCTTAATGATCTATCTGCAAACATTCAAGGCGGACAATTTGAGATACCACAGAAGACTCAAGAAATTGTTTGTTCATTTCTACATGGAAAAAAAATCCTAAGAATATATTGAACAGTCTTTAAATAAAACATAGACTCTAAAATTCAGGCAAGATTTCCAATCAAAAATTATTTTAGTAATTTCTTTAAGCATTAAACTTTTTTCAAGGAGTTTTCAAGGAGTTCCCACTGATCGACATATATATAAATAAAATGTACAAATATTATATTTTTCTATATAATTAAATATTATTTATTATTATATAATAATATATTATAAATATAAATTACATTTTAAAAATAAATTATTATAAATAATGGTATTTATATTAAATATATGTATATATTATACATTTATAAACATATAAAATTTATATATATATTTATATCTTTATATTGAAATGAATTTCAGCATTTTTAGGTAAACAATGTTTAATAAACTGTAATACAGGAAGATATTGTACTGAATATAGTATTAAAATGTTGTGGTACTTAATAGTTCAAAAATTGTTTTATTTAATTGAGACCAACTGGCCTCATTGTTTCTTATAAACTTTGCAATATATATTCAGTAAAAAGGAATAAAAATGAACAGATGTTTCTCCTTAAAGAAGGCAGACAAAGATTTTCTTACACAATAAATCAGCTGCTTGTGGATTTCCAGGACATTGCTTCAGGCTAGCTATTTAGGCATAAAACTTAAAAAAAAAAAAAAAAAGATTTACCTCTGTGTGGATCCAAAACTGGTAGAGGAGATTGAACTGAAGATGAACAGCATATACTGAAGGAGGTATGAAGAGGGCCAGGGGAGAGTAGAATATCTGAAAGAGTAAAAATTTTTAAATTTGCACATCTGATTTCTCAACATCATCTACTATTACTGATGGTTGAACATTCTGAGTATATACTTCAGCAAATACACCTTACTCTTTAGCAAAATTACTTTATTCTGTGTATTTTATTGCCATATTTGACTTTGCAACGTTAATTTTCCACATGTTGATAAAGTTGCAGACATGTTGGAGTGAAGTCCACTGGACCTCTGTTTTGCAGTTAATGTTGTCTAGTGAAAATATCATAGGTGGTGTGTTATTTCCTTAATCTCGAAAAGGTTGGATGTGTTTCCTGGAAGTCAAGAGATTTTCTATATACACACAAATACTTTCTTTAAATAAAAGAAATGCAGGATCATGTGCCTTTAGACCTTGATAGTTTCGAAACTCTGTATTATTACTGGCATTCTTAGTAGTAAAATAAAATTATAATAAAAGAAAGTGATTTCACACAAAGAGAGGATAGAATACATTTTCCTTTTTAATTTGGTGTTTATGTGGTTGATTGAGGGCACAATATCTCCTAATTTTTTCAAAGTTAGCAAGGATAGGGCTATAATACGGTGCCACAGTGGAAACAAATTTTACAGGTCCATATTTCTTAACAGACGGAAATGCATCTGCGTTGGAAAAACAACTTATGCTTAAACCGCAGGACTGGTTAGAATCAACTAATAAGCACAATCTGCTGTGTTCTTCTAACGACTTTGATCACCAAGAGTGGTTTCACATTGCAAGAAAACACCTTATTAAATGAAAAACTAAACAACCAAATAGTAATAAGAAGAATCTGACTTCCACTGTACATTTCAGCTTTTGTAGAGTTAATATTTCCAAAAGACTGGATATTCTGAAAACATTTCTTCTGAATATTACAATTTTATTTCTAAACTACTTTAAAGCTTTTGTTCTCAGTTAGGCCAAATATCATATCAACGATGTTTAGTAATGATTACGTAAAAACTAGACATTTACATAAACTCTTCTAGTTTTGGTTTCCAACCTTAAGTCGTGAAAAATCTCAACTGTCATCAGAAGCGGGATCAGTTTCATTATTTATAAACGTATTATTAAGCAATGGATTAGGTTAGTGAGCAACAAAAGAATACTGGCTCTTATTCCAAACATCCACTATTAAGTCTTGGTTCCACTACAGAATCTCTCCGTGATATTCACAAAGTTCTTAAACTTCTCTAGGTTTCAGTATCCTCAAATGAATGGCAAAGGGAAAAACCGTGTAAAATCTAACTGTCCTTTTGGTTCCAAAAGATCTATGATATGGTGAGTTGATTTTTTGAAATATATTAAAATGATTCTCTTGGTTAATGAAAATATTTAAAACAAGTATATGACCAGGATTTAAGTATTGTGATCTAAAAAGTATTTTGGAATACTTGAGATGTGAATTAAAGATCTAGAACAACTTATCTTGGACACTTAGTAAATAGTTCTCCTCGGGAAGAGAGTGCATACCAGATGAGTACGTATAGTTCATTATAATTCCCCAAAGTGTGGACAAATAGTTTTTTGAGACAATAACAGCTATTATGGAAAAAGGGGTTCTGTGATCAAATAAGTTGTTAATTGATGAGTTAAACAAATGAAGTGTCTTTACCACAGAACTTCTCAGAGCATTTACCATGCTAATGTGAACCACAAGCCTATTAGTCCATAGAATACTTTCTTAATGAATTTCCCATAGGATTAGATTTCCTAAAAACACATTTGATGAAACAATGTCTCAAATCTTAAAAATCAGTAAATATAATTATGAACTGACTATTAGAAAGATGAGCTCAGCAGGAATTCCAAAAAAATCACATTTCTAATAAGAAATAAAGATATAGGTTAGGGAGTAAGTCACAAGAATCACATGAAAGTTAATTTCTTGTTATTAATATAGTACTATAAAAAGAATCTAATGATACAATTAAAGTTGTAATTTCTAAAATTGAAATCAGCTTAGTAAACATGGTCCAGGTCTGAGAATCCTCACTCATCTTCCTCTGTAACTCCAATCACTGCATTACCAAATCTTCTATAGTTTTTAGAACCAATTTAAATGCCACTTCCATCATAAAGCCTCAAATGGTACTAATTTGACAGAAGAAATTTCTTGTTTCTCAAACTTAAACTCTCAGTACCTGTGTCAGGAGACATTATACTGTTTACCAAATACATCATTTTGTCATTCATTCAAACCCATGTCTTTCTGACTCCAAGGCTCTTTAGCCTTAATCACACTGTCTACCCTAGGTTATTTTATTATCTCTTGATAGAAGTCACATATAATAGGGTCATAAAGGAGAGAAATAACCCAGACCTGTATTTGTGAGGAGAAAAAGAGGATAGGCCTAGAGTTAACCTTAGTTTAACGAATGGGTTTTATTATGTTCATCAAGTGAATGGGGAAGGTAGGGGCTGTGTGAGGGGGCATCACGAAGGAAGAAGCAACATGGCATTTAAGAGCAACTATAAGTATTTCAGCATTGCTAAAGGTTTTGGAGAGTGTGGCGAGAGATCATTTAGACCATGGGATTCATAGATAGATCTGAGGGAGTCTGTGAACCCCCTTGACATTACACAACAAAGTGTGAGCTTGTGTGCATGGGGAATGTACAATTTTCTGAAGAAAGAATCTATAGCTTTCCTCAGGGAATCTCCTGTAGGATAATTTAGACATTGGTCAAGCCAATGGAAGGGGAGATTTTAATGCTATTCTGAGGAGATTGGATTTATTCTAGGTCATGAGGGAGCACTTAACATTTTTTCAAGCCTGTAAGAAATACAAAAGCAGGTTTGGAACCTATTTCAATAGCCCACTGAAAAATCACGTGCATTGAAGCACAGCAGTAGCCATGGGGATGGAGCGGCAGAATATATACAAGAGATCTAAGGATTTGGCAACTGCTTAAATGTAGAAGATGATAGGGACAGAGGAGTATCAGAAGACACACAGATTTCTGGCTTGTATGTAAAGTGATGTTATTCGCCAAGACAGTGAACAGGAGGAAGAATAGGTTCATAAAATTCAACTTAGGGAATGTTGTGTTTGAGTCCTTGGGGTATATCTCAAGAAAGTTGTTGAGTAAGCAAATATGTTACACAAATATCAATTGTCTTTGAACTGATGGATGTGTCCACAATGGGAAGACAACAGGCAAAGCTGGTAACTCCACAGACAGTCAGAAAAAGAGTTGCAGCAAATTAGGCTGGAATGAGGACAGTAACAGAAGTGGGAAGATCCAGAATTTAGTGTCATCAGAAATAAATGAGAGATTTTTAAGAAGGAGTAAATTGATGACTCCCAATGAGTTTCCAAGTAAGATAAGAACTGAAAAATGACACTGGATTTGCAGGTAAGGATCAGTGGAGCAGTGGGCCTGGAATCCAGACTTCAGTGAGATTTAGAATCACTCTGAGGAGGTGACAAAATAGAGGTAGGTATTACTTACTTCTCTCTTCCCCTGAGAACAAGAAAGAAAAGAACTGGAGATATTCCTTAAGTAGAACACATGGATGGAGGAGGAGATTTTATTTGCTTTTTTAAATGTGACATGAATATGTTTATGGTGTATTCAGAAGGAGCCAGTTGAAAGGAAGAGGAACAAATGCCAAGAGTAAGTGATCAAAGTTCAAGAGAGGAACCAAGATAAGAGCAAAGTCACCAACCTAAGGATTAGACCTGCTGAAGAGAGGTGAGTGGTTTTCTATAAAACCAGAGACAAGAAAGCATGTGTACTTTCACAAGTCTTAATGAAGATATGTGAACAGGAAGTAAAGAGAGGTAAAATCAGAAAAACTCACATTTCTCTGTGATGTTTTAAATACATTCGTCGGCTAACAGAAAGGGGCAGCAGTGGAGAAGAGATCTGGAGAGACTGGAATTTTGGAAAGGCTTCTCCCAGGCTGGGAGGAGGCTCATGTTTATGGCTTGGTAAGCAGCACTGACAACTCAGCTGGGTCTGGAAGCCATATATGGAGGGGCGTCAAACCACCCAGCTGGTGCTGGAGGATACCCACGGCTCTCAGCAACCTGGGTGTGGGAGTGAAGTAGGTGGGTGACCGGATTCAAGCATGGCATGCAGATTTCAGAGCAGATGTAGCAGAAGGAGGTAGACTGTGCTTTCCAGAGTCATGGGAATTAAGCACTTAGGTTGGAGGATGGCGATGGAGGATGACAAACTGGGAGAAAATCAGGGGTTGGGAGACCTCTGTCCATGAATAAGCTGCTAAGCAAAATGGTTGAAATTCAAGTGTATAATGACTTTAAAGAAAAGAAAAATCTTTTGAGCTCCAGGATTTACATCTACTTTATTTTCTTAAAATAGTTTAACTTTACTAATATCTTCACTTCTAAAATTCTCATTTATTTTTATAACATTACAGAAAAATTTTTTCTTTCAGAATTGAAAAACTAGAGATTGAAAAGTCACGTATTGTCCCACATTTCTTGAAGTAATAACATAGAACCAAACTTTCTGATTGCAGATAGAGAATACTGATCTCTATCCTTAAAACGCATCTATCTAAATTGTATGTGTGGAAGTAGTGTTTGTGTTCCTATTTAGAGAATCTTTATCTTTAAGTAATCTAGTCCTGTCTTTCTGTTCCCATTTCTATGCTCTTATCCATTTCCCTTTTTCTCCATTCCACCTTCTTATACATCCTATATATTCTATATCCTACATATTCTCTCTCTATATTTCTCCTATATATTCTATATTTTATACATCCTATATATTCTAGCCATACTGTTATGGGTTGAACTGTGTCGCCTGAAAAGATATGTGAGGTCCTCGCCCCCCCAGTACCTCAGAATATGACCTTATTTGGAAATAGGGTCTTTAAGGAGGTAAGCAAGTTAAAAGGAAGTAGTTAGGGTGGGCTTTATTCGAATATGAATGGTTTCCTTATAAAAAGGAGAAATTAGAACACCAACAGATATGCACACAGGGAGAACGCCATGTGAAGATGAAGGCAGAGAC